ACGACTGCTCCAGCTCTCTGCTCGCGCTCTCTGCTCCGCGCTCTCCTGCTCCGGCGCCTCCTCCTGCTCCGGCGCCTCCTCCTGCTCCGGCGCTTCCTCCTGCTCCGGCGCCAGCACCATTACCTCCTCCAGCGCCTTCTCCAGCGCCTCCTCCAGCGCCTCCTCCAGCGCCTCCTCCAGCGCCTCCACCAGCGCCTCCTCCGCCTCCAGCGCCTCCTCCTGCTCCAGCGCCAGCACCATCACCTCCAGATCCAGCCCCTTCTCCACCCCCTCCTGCTCCTCCCGCGCCGTCTCCTGCTCCGGCACCCCCTCCGTCAGCATCGCCCGCACCGCCGCCTATCCCTCCTGCTCCGCCTGCTCCACCTCCAGCGGCACCCCCCGCCCCTGCTCCCGTACCATCACCCCCGGCGCCTTCTGCTCCACCACCGCCGGAAGCTCCGCCCACTCCATCCCCGGCCCCGCCTGCCCCTCCAGCGGCGCTACCGTCTGCAACGCCAGACCCAGTCCCATCGGCTGCACCGCTGGAGCCGGCGCCGAAGCCTTGGCCAGCTGCATCTCCGCCTGCGCTGGAGCCCGTGGCTGCACCTGAAGCGCCATTGGCTCCCGCTGCGGCATCAGCACCGGCATCAGCACCGGCACCGCCACCGGAGCCATCATCTGCTCCAGCGAGCGATCCGTCTCCCGCCGCGGACGCGCCTCCTTCCGCCCCGGCACCGGCCCCGTCGCCGAGACCCATGGCCGTGCCGTCGTCGGGTATTCCATCGCCGTTGGAATCGATTGCGGCCGCGCCGGCGCCGGCGCTGCCCTGCCCCGACATCGGTCCCGCCGCCGGATCGCCGTCGTTGGGGTTTGCTGCCGTATTTGATGAGGCGGCGCCTGGTCCGCCGTCGGACCTGGACGAGGAGGGCAAGAAGGTATTGGCGAGCGTGTCTGCGACGCCGCGAAAGCCCGCCAGGAGACCCGTGACGCCGCTATCCGACGGGGTTGCTGCTGTTGAAGTGTCGAGGTACGGCGCTTGTAATGGTGGTGGTGGTGGTGTGTCCCCAGAGTACGCCCAATACGCAGTGTCGGGATAGCCTGCTGGGCCTCCGAAGCCGGAAGTGTCAGCGGACGGGTAGTACTCCGAGGTGATGGAGGACGTGAAGGTGGAGTCAGACTGGCGTCGGTGCGGCGCGACCTCGCGAGTCGACCCGAGGTCGAGGCTGTCTTGGATCGGGAGCGGTGCGGCTGCGAAGCCCTCGCCAGCGTCGACGATGTTTCGTCGCGCAGAGTGATGCTGATCCGTGTGCGCAGAGAATCGATCGTCCTCGAGGGAGGAAAAGACGGCTTGTCTAATCAGGTCTCGCCGATGCTCGTCGGCTGCTGGGTGCTTGGACCATGCTGGGATTGATAGAGGGTCGAGTGTCGCGCTTATCAAGTCGCTATCGGCGGTAGAGGCGGCGACGGCGGAAAGGGTGAAGGTCGCTGCCGATACGAGCAGGAGCCAGGGCCTCGCTCTTGACGCTCGAGGCGAAGGTCGTTGCGGCCTGCAGCCGAAGGTCGATGCAGTACCGGTGCTGGCGGTGGTGTTGGTGGTGTTGGAGCGCATCTTCTCTCGCGTCGACCTGGAACGAATCAGGACTGCCCAGACGGGGGCGTCGAGGATGTGGTCGGGAGGCACACCTCCTATATCCTCGCCGCTGCTCTCGAGCGTACCCTCTGAGCTTAGTCAGGTGTATGGGCGGCGAGATGGTGAGGCATTGCCGCCGGCGTGTGCAGCGAGCGGGTCGGAGCGAGTCGAGGGCGCGAGGGCCAGCGGATACCGAGCTGGCCTTGCCGGCTTGTCAGGGGTCCGTCTCGCCAACCAAGATCCTCCCTTGTCAAGCGATACCTCCTTTCTTGCTTGCTCGCTCTCCCGCGGATTCCCCGCTGTGTCTCAAGGCCCATTGTTGCGGAAGCAGCAGGACCGGAACGGAGCAGCATGAAGGCGATGATATGCCTACGGAGGGCGTCTGGGCGGGCAGAGGCGGGGGCAGCATCGTATCGTCCAAGGGTCTCACCTCGTGGCCGACGGCCAGCGAGCAATCAGAGGCCGGGTCCGGAGAAGGCATCGGCTGCAGCCATGGACCGACCTGCGAGCGACGGACGGGGTGCCGCTGCGAGATCAAGATTCCGGCTGCACCATGGCATGCCTTCGCCCTAACTAGCAGCAGCGGGGCCAAGACACCGCGTATATTTGCCAGTCGGCGCCGTGGGGGATTCCAGGGAGACCCCGTCCGGCGAGATCTATGAGCGCCGTTCGTCATGGGGTGGCGAGCATGGCTCCGACATGCGCCTGCCTGCCTGCCTGCCTGCCTGCCTGCTGGCTGCAAGCTGGTCAAGGAGCACCGCACGTTGCTGTGTTTGTTTCAGGCGAAGTCAGTGCGGCATACGGCGAGGATTGGCAAGGGCAAGCAAATGTTGGTGTGTCGGTCTTTGTCCTGGCGACAAGGAAGGGCATGGATGCCAGGGGGTCCGGCCCACCGCGGGCCCTCATGTGCGCGTCGAGCCGTGACATGTCGCGCCCCTCGCTCGCGCTGCCTAGGCTGGCTCGACTTGCTGCCAGGGCAGCGCGCGTGCCCCACGCCCAGGCACTACTCATCGCAGCCCAAGGCCGAACCACGGACGCTCGGACCCTGACGCGGAAGCTCGACGGGATCTCCGGCAGAGTAGAACGACGGCGACGCTTCCGTGCTTCGAATGCGGTGTGATGCTCGACGAGGAGGCGATCCCCCGCCCGCGATGGCTGCTGGCGACGAGCCATGTCGCAGATGAGCTCAGGACGCTTCATGGCTCGATGGTGCCTTTGTCCGTACATACATACAAACGAGGACGACGATCTCGACGGCGCAAGCCCGTCCATCCTGCCTTCCATCTGCTGGGCCCTTCGAGTTTCTCGCTACATCGGCCCGCCTGCTATGCCGAACGCGCAGGCGGCATCCGAATCGCAACACGACCAGATCTCTATTCCGACCTCTGTCCCCTTCCGGCGTCTCACTACTGGAAGTCGACCTGGCGCTGCTCTGCGACGGTGAAGCCGAGCTTGCCCGTGTCGAGGCCCTGGATGAGGTTGCGCAGGCACACGGCCTCCATCTCAGTCTGCGTCTCGAGCGTCAGCGTGCCGACGTGGGGCAGCAGCATCGCCTTTGTTTCCTTGAGCGCCAGCAGACGCGGGTGGATCGAGGGCTGTGAATGAGTGGGGGGCGGAGGGTAAGAGGCGAGGGGCAGAAACCGCAGCTCACGGGTCAGCGCGGGCCAACTCCTCGCTCTGCCGGGTCGAAAGGAGCGTGCCACGCCACGGCGCACCCACCTCGTTCTCGTACACGTCGAGACCCGCGCCGGCGATGACGCCCTGCTCGAGGGCCTCTGCGAGCTGCTCTTCGTGGATCACGGGACCGCGGGCGGTGTTGATGATGACGGCCGAGTCCTTCATCCTGCTGAGCTCATCTCTGCCGATGAGGCCCTTTGTCTGTGGGGTGAGCGGGCAGTGGAGGGACACGGCGTCGGATCGCTCGAGGAGGTCGTCGAGCGTCTCGACGTACTCCATGCCACCCTTGGCTGACTCGGCCTCGAGCTTGGGGTCGAGCCTGTTGCGGTTGTGGTAGATGACCCTCATGCCAAGGGCGTGCGACGCCTTGTAGGCAAAGGCCCGACCGATGCCGCCCGCGCCGACGATGCCGAGCGTCTTGCTGCGCGGGTCGCGGGCCGAGTGGAAGTCAAACTGCGAGTTGAACGCGCCGCGGTCGAGGTGCGCCTGGGCCAGCGGGAAGCGTCGGAGGGCGCCGAGGAGGAGAAAGAGGGCGACGTCGGACGTGGCATCGTCGACGGCGACGGGCACGTTGGACACCTGCACGTTGCGCGCCGTCAGGGCGGCGACGTCGAGCTGGTCGTAGCCTGCCCCGTTGTGCACAATGTACCGCAGGGAGCGGGGCAGCGCTTCGACGAGCTGCGGATCAAAGCGCCCCGTCACCTTGACCGAGCGGGCGCCTCCAAAGTGGCGGTAGATGCCGACAACGTCGGCGTAGTCGCCCGAAGGGGCGAAGCGCGAGATGAGCTCGTCGCGGGTTTTGGCCGAGGACGTCTGCAAGTTGCGGGTGATCCGGAGCGATGCGACGCCAAGGTGGGGCAGATCGAGAGGCGCGGGTCAGCAGCTTGAGGGAGGCCGACGCTGGCCACGGCTCGAGGGGGCCAAGCCGCCGACTCACGAGCACGTCTGCCTTGCCCTTGAGGCGCTCCAGCTCGGCGGTTGCGAGCTTGATCTCATCGAGAAGTAGCACCTTGGGCTTGGACGCCTGCGACGAGGCCCAGCGTCGGACAAGGGGTGCTGTCGTCGTCGTCGTCGTCGTCGTCGTCGTCGGCGCTGCGGGCGGGCCCCGCTGAGCGAGCTGCGAGGCGGACGGCAGTCGCAGCCATCTGGTCGTGAGTGCCGGTCTCATGGTTGCGCTGAGCGAGTTGATCGGCCTCGATCCGCGGTCGGGCGTTGGTCGAGTGGGGCCGCGTGCGAAGAAGGGCAGGGGAGGAGGTGTGGGTCGGAAGCTCCGACGAGCGAGCAGGCCAGGCCTCAAGACCCTCTTTCGGAAGAAGCCGACGCCCTTGGCGCTGGCTCGGGCCACGCCGGCGCACGCATGTCCTGGCCTGCCCTGGCCTGCCCTGGCCAGCCAGGTGGAGGAGGCGAGCCGCGCATCTCCGACTTCCGAGGGGTTCGCTCGCACACCAAGACTTTTTTGAGCGGGCGGCCGCGCCTTCCCGCCCGACGACCCTCTTCTGTTGGTAAGCTTTTCGCCGCCTCTTCAACGATCCTTCGCCTCTCCACCTATTTGCCGTCCTCCGCCGTCCCTCGCCGTCCCTCTCCATCCCTTCCCGTCTAATAGACACGCACCGGCTTCGTGGCGATCCTTCTTTCTCGGTGACTTCGATACCCTCCCCTCGCCCCTCCAACACCTCCCCTCCTCTGGACTGCCGACCTTCGGGTACTGCCTCCTAGCCCTCCGCCCTGGCTCGCCTCGTCTCGCCGATATTACACCCTCTAGTACTAGCCCAGGTATCAGAGCCTGCCAGGGAGCCATCGAGGCTCTCTGATCCAGTCCTCTGCCAGTCGCTCTTCGCCACCATTCGGCCAATCGCCCTTCTCGCTGCTCGGTCATCTCTCTGCCCCTCTGCCCCATCCGCAGCCGCAGCCACAGCCAGGCTTCTCGCCCGTCCGCTCCCGACGCCCGCCACCCGAGACGCAGTCTCTCAACACAGGCTCGGCCGCTACAGCACCCGCCGATTCGTCTCAACGCAGCTAGCTTTGCCCGACCCGGCACCTCTGCTGTGCCTTCCTGCTCCATCTGTCGAGGTCCGCCCGCTCTACCACCCGGTTGCGATCCCCCGCGACGCCCAGATCGAAATCGTCAGCCGCGTCAAGCCCGCACCGCTGCCTTACCCTCTCACAGTGCTTGCAGCAGCCAAGCAGGCGCAGAAAGAGCAGGCGGCCTACTCTCGCTACCAAGAAAGGCTGGCAGCCAAGGAGCGCTTGCAGGCGGAAAAGAAGGCTCGCATCGAGGCTGGAGAACACCACCGTAGACTGCGCGTGCTCGTGAAATCCCTCCGGCAACACGGACACAACGTGCTGGTCACCCTGTCCCAGCTCGACAGTCTCGCGCGGCATCAACAAGATCGGATCGACCGCATCAAGAATCTTGCCGGCCATCCGCCAGCTGCTATCGCACTAGCCGAGAAAGCGCCTCCGACTCCATCGCCGAGGACCGAGCCTGCGCTTCCCGCCAAGGCTGCCCCTGACGACGCCGACACGCTCGCCGAGGCAAAGTGGGTTCACGTCCCGGCGTCGATCGAAAAAGAGCCGGACATGAAGAGCAAACGGGCCACGAAACTCGGCGAAGGCGCGCCTGCGGGCTCCAAGTTCGGCAATGCGACAGAGGTCAAAGCCGGCAGCAACTGGAAGTCGCTCAAGAAGGTGGGTTGCCTCGTGCCAATGGCCCCCACACACTCAGGGACGATAACGCTGACTTGACCCTCTCGTTCAACGACGTCGCTCGGCAGACTCTCGCTGCAGAGAACCCGTCCGCTGCGACCAAGCCAACCGCCTCTTTGAGAGCGACAAAGCACATACCTGCGGGACCGCCGGCGAAGACGAGCACGGAAAAGTGGGGCGGTACCGCTCTCGCCAAGGCTGGTGATCCGACGGGCAACGGCAAGGCCGTGGCCACCACGTCGGCCTCCGGCGCCTCCACCTCGTCCCGCCCTTGGTTCGCAGACGACCTCAAGGCCGAGGACCTGGCGCTGGCGACGTCGATCACGCGCGACATCACGGCGCGCTCGATGCACTGGGAAGGCATCATGGATCCAGCCCTGAAGCGGCAGATCATCCTCGAAGGACCCGTCAAGGACGCCATCCAGATGAAGAAGAAGTGAGTGCCCCCAAGTAGCCCCAGCGGGCGTTTCCGGCTTCCTCCCTCGCGGCAGCACGCTGAACGCTCCGACCGCGCTCCAAGCCATCCCCACTCCATCTCTCCCTGCTTTCCTCGCCCCCGGCAGAGAGGCAAGCTACATCGCAGTCGACTGCGAAATGGTCGGCGTCGGGCCAAAGGGGAGCGAGTCGCACCTGGCCCGGGTATCGCTGGTCGACTTCCACGGCAACCTGGTGCTGGACCGCTACGTGCGGCCCATGGAAAAGGTGACCGACTACCGCACCTGGGTGTCTGGCATCCGGCCGAGGCACCTGCGCGACGCGCCGCCGTTTTCCGAGGTGCAGGCCGAGGTGGCTCGGCTGATCAAGGGCAAGGTGCTCGTCGGCCACGCCATCCAGAACGACCTCAAGGCGCTGATGCTGTCGCACCCGCACGCCCTTATCCGCGATACGGCCGCGTACCAGGGCCTGCGCGACATTGCGCAGAGCAAGATGCCCTCGCTGCGCAAGCTGGCCAAGCTCGTGCTCGGCATCGATATCCAGGTCAAGGGCCAGCCGCACTCGAGCGTAGAGGATGCCAGGGCCACCATGGCCGTCTTCCGGACGCAAAAGGTCAAGTGGGACGAGTCGCTCCGAGGTCGCAAGGGTCGCAGTGGCAGCGGCACCGCCGTCGTCGATCACGACGCCACATCGGCAGTCACCGACGCCAATGCCGATGCCGGTGCGGGCGGCTCGGCGATCCAGCGCATGGCGGGCAAGTTTGCCTCGCGGATATGGCAGCCCCCATCCCCCTCCACCTCTGCTGCATCCGAGGATCCAAAGTGGGGCAGGGCAGCGATGACGGGGGCGGCAGGGACCAAGAGGAAGGTCGAAGCCGGCGCCAGCGGCGGCGGTGGTGGTGGTGGTGGTGGAGGCGGCGTCAAGAGAGTCAAGACGGTCATGCCCCAGGCCTCGGGTCCGGCCAAGCCAAGGCCAAAAGTGGCGGCCAAGTCGGACTGGTGGAAAGACGACTTCTGACGGCGTCACCGCTGCGCCGTTCAGGCGGGCTCCCGGCTTCCGTTTGGATCGCAGGATGTCGACGCGACGAGATGAGGAGCTAGTTTCGAGGTCGACCAGATTTTGGCTCAAGCCGCAGAGAGAGAGAGAGGTTCTGTATTTTACAAGCGGTATGCAGAGAGTCGAGGCGGGTTGGGGACGGAGGGGGTCGTCGAACTAAGGTTTCGAGAGGCGGGGGTCGAGGCGAGGAAACGGGTAGCATCGCCATTACGAGGGGGGGTCGAGGGGAGATGGAGAGAGAGAGAGAGACGCGGGATATGTCGCGTGATGTGGCGACGGCGCTGTCGGCAGCCACGCTGACGGCATGGTGCTGGGGACGAGGCAGGTCTCCATGGAGACGCTGCGCTGCGAGCCGCGGAGGGCTTGCTTGGACGAGCGGGACCAGGAGACGAGGGCGCGCCTGGGTCAGAGGATCGGTCGGTTCGAGTCGGGTCGGGCCGGTACATGCTGAGTTGTGGAATCTGGCGGCGGCGAGGCCGAGCGAGGAGGCACGGGCTCGCGCAGCCGCGTCAGTCTTCCTTCTTGCTGAGGTGGGAGCCGATCAGCTGTGCAGGAGGAAAGGTCAGGGCCGAAAGCAGATGCGCCAGGCAGAGGTCAGCGGACTGCGACAGGGACGGGACCAGGCCGCCGCCTTCCACGGGTCATACGCACCTTGGCCATCTCAAAGGAGCTGGGGAGCGAGTCGCGGCGGAGCGGGGCAAGGACAGTGGCTGCCGGTCAGCGTTCGGGCTTCGCCGGTGGTTGCGCACGGACACGGGCACGGCTCTCTGCACTCACTCGACGGTGCTCTTGCCAAAGATGTCGGTCAGCTTGGCGTCGCAGAGGATCTGCCGCTTGTTGCTCTCGTTCTGCAGGTTGTTGGCCTTGATGTAGACCCAGAGGTTCTTGACGACGGCGTGCCGCGGCATCTGCGGTGTCGGTCGCAACAAGCAAGGGGCCCGGAAGGAGGCGTCGTCGGGGAAGCGATGGTCAGTACGAGTCTACCCTCAGCGTCCCGGCCACGGCGAGGGCGCAACTCACCTCATTGCCGCCGCAGACCTCTGCCAGCTTGGGCGCGAGGATGAGTGGCCGGTTAAAGGGGTTGTTGGGGTTTGCGGCGCGCTTCTTTTTGGCCGCCTCCTCCTCGTCGAGCACCTCGCTCGCCGCGCGCTTCTTTGTCGCCTTCTTTTTCGGCTTGGCAGCTGGCTCGGCTGCTGCCTTGGGCGCCGCCTTTGTCTTTGTGCCGTTGGCCGTCGAGGCGGCCGGGGCTGCGGCGGCCTCCTTCTTGACGGCGGGCGCGGCGCCCTGGCTGCTGCTGGGAGTCGTGTGGCCGCCGCGGACGCCGCCGAGACCGGGTAGCGCGAGGCCGCCGGATGGCGGTGCCGAGGGCGGCTTCGACTCGGGCTGTGGCGGGGGTGCGACACTCTTCGACATCTGGTCGAAGCAGTCGCGGATGACTTCGTCGATCTGCTTTTTGCTCGCTGCGAGGTCGAGGTTGGGTGGCAGCCTCCCCGGCGGCAGCTGCGAGAGGCCGACGCGGACCTTTTTGGCCGAGATGGACGAGAGGTCAGCATGTTCGAGGATCTGGATGATGGCGGGCCGCAGCACCGCCACCGTCTGCGGATCGAGCTGCGACATTGTGCAGGTGCTATGTGGGTAGGTGGGGCGATCCGAAGGGCGAGGTCGACGTGGCGAGAGGCTGGGCAGGGCTAAAAGCTGACGATCCAGTCAGGAGCGCGCAGATTTGGTCGGTGCGATCGAGCTGAGCGATGTGGCCCGGGCTTGGCCGCGGCGTGCAGGCTGGGACGGCTCCCAACTATCGCAAGGCAGCCCTAGTCGTGGTGATGGGTCAACAGCCAGCTGAGGGAGAGAGGGACGCTGGCGGATTGCGACCGGCCTGGTCGACGGAGAGATCTGGCAGGTTTCCAGCGACGTACAAGACCGGCGTGAGCGCGAGCGCGAGCGGGACAGTGGCGGGGGCAGGGGGGACGCGAGCTGGCCGAAAGCGGGTGCGGTCGTCGAAGTGCGAGGGGCAGCAGTGGTGGAGAGAGGTGACTAGGTGAGAAGATGGAGTTGGCTGGTTGGCTGGTAGGATGCTTGGAGCGAGCCGCCTGCGGTCGCGGGACGGCAGGCTACCCGAACGCCAGAATTGATTGACACTCTGGCCAGCAGGGCGAGGCTGCCGCCAAACGACTCTCAATCACCGAATCGCCTCTCGGGCTGCCCGCCAGGCTCACCCACCGTAGCCGCGGGGCCTGCCGCGAGCGCGGGTGGGCAAGGCACGCTCGGCCTAGCCTGGGCTGGCCTGGTCGCTCCAGCTGTCTGCCTGCCTGCCAGCCCCTTGTTGCCTCGCAGGCCAGGCCTGTGGACTGGCCTTCTCCACCTCGCAAAATGCGACTCAACTCTACGCCACGGCCCGGAAGTCGGAAAGCAGAGGCGCCGGTGATCGCCAGCAGGCTCAGCCCACTTGCCCTCGCATCGGGGCTGGGCCTAGCCTGGCCAGGGCCCTAGCCTTCTCGGGACGTCCGTCGAGCAAATGTACATGCATGGTCGGCTCACTCTGCCTGGCCTAGCTAGTCTTTTGAGCAAAACCTTGCGGGCCGCGCCGGCGCATGGAAGCCAAGAAGAAGAGGCCTAACGAGGGTCAGCGGTACGGTCAGCGGCGGGATCCGGTCACGCCGAAGGGCGAGGCAGGCCTGGCCAGGTCACGGCCGGACCGCGGTGAGGTGGGGCCCGAGCGCGTGCCTCACGCTCCACATGCAACCCTTGGCAGGCGGCAAGAGGGCAAGGAGGGCCGGCTGGCCAGGCTGGTTGGCCGGCCGCACCCTCGCCACCACCGCTCATCTTTCGACTTCCCACCTTTACTCGCTGCTGCCTGTCGCTGGATCGCCTCTGTCTGGCCCTCGCCCTCGTCCTATCTCTCGCCCTTGTCCTCACCCTCGACCTGCCGCTCTTGCCACCCAACGACGAAACAGACGCATCGGGACGCTGCCGACTGTTGCAGCTGCAGATCCAGCGTCGCCCGTCGCTGCCTTAGCTCGCTCTCTCTCGACCCGCCTCTGCCGAGACTAGCCAGCGCGGGCTCGCCTCGGATCGCTCCGACGCCATGTCATCCGACTTGTCGTCGCCCCAGTTTGAGGGCGGAATGGCTCCGCCCACGCCGGACAAGCCGGTTTCTGGCCAGCAGCCAGGCCAGGGCGCAATGAGCCGCTCCAACTCGAACCTCGTCGCCGACCTCGAGCAGAGGCGGCAGACGGCAGCCTCGTATCGCAACGGCCAGCCCACCTCAGAGGCCCAGGCGGCCAACGCCGTCTATCAGCCTCAGCATCAAGCAGATCCACCCCGCGAGCTGTTCCTACGCATCCGTATCCAGTCGATTGAAAAGGCCAAGCGCGACCTCATGGTCAGGATGGACGCAATCGTGAGTAGCAGCAGTACAGTAGTAGCAGCAGCCGGGCCGCGAGGTGCTGCGGTTCCCAGCAGCTTCCAGCGATGCCAGCACCGGCGCTATGCGTGACATTGACGCCGTGCTGCCTGCTGTCCTCGTCCCCTCTCCCCCCCTCCCTCCCTGTCCCCGCTATGCTGCCGGTCTGCCAGACCAATGTCCCCCATTTTCGGTCCTCGTCCTACCCGGGATTCACTCGCTCCTACCGCGAACTGTGCCTCTACGCCCTCGCCCTCTCGCTCTCGTCGCCCGCCACCATCGTACCCGCGCTGCCGCTGCCCTCCACCACGGCAAGCGGCGTCGAGGACACCCGCATCCTCCGCCTCATGCTCTCGCGCTGGTTCTCTCGCATCCTCGCCGAGCCCTCGCTCCGCGACAACCCAGAGACGCGCAACCTCGTCGAGGCCGACTTTACCTACTCGCCCACCCCACCCGGCGCCGGCAGCTCCTCTGCAGCCAGGAAGAGGTTCGCCAACGCCATGGCCAGCGCCGCAAACGTTGCCTACGGCGGCGTCGACTCGACCGGTGGCCTCCCCAACGGCGTCCTCGCCACCTCGGCCTCCGCAAGCACCAGGAGCGGTGGCGGCGGCGGTGGCTTCAGCATCCTGGGCCTCGGAGGCGGCAACAAGGGCCTCAGCACCTCGAGGAGCGTCTACGACGATGACGAGGACCTTGTGGCGGCACGCGCAGAGGTGACGAGGCTCGAGATGCAGTTTGCCGACGCCGCCGAGGCGTCCGAGAAGCTGGCCCATTCGCGCCGCGCCCTCACCACCGCCCTCTCCGACCTCTCTGCCAAGCTCAACAACCTCGGCGCCGTCGAAGAGGTCCGTCCGCCCTCGATGCGCCTCGGGCTGCCCCACGCGCTCAAGAGCGCCGCGCACACGAGCCGCAGCGTGGGCGAGCTGCAGGACGCCCTCAGCAACACTGAGCTGCTGACGCTCGGCGATGCGGTCGCCTACCAGTCGATCAACGCCCGGGCCGCCAAGGAGGCCATGCTCGCGCGCAACGCCCTCGTCGAGGAACACCACAATGCGCAGAAGGCCGTGGTCGCCAAGAAGCGCGATGCCGAGCACCTCAAGACGCAGCGCAACCTGCGGGCGGACAAGGTCGACGACGCCCTCGAGGAGCTCGAAGAGGTGAGTTGCGCACGGGGCCAACGGCGTCGACGATGCCGCACCGCCCCCTGACGCCGACACGTCGCTGACATCCGGATCGTCCCTCGACGTGCGGGCAAACAGGCAAAGCGGCACGAAGTCGCGCTGGCGCAGAATCTCAAGCGGATCAGCCTCAACCTGCACAGCAGCCTCCAGAGCCACAGCCGGCACGCGCACCACGACCTGCAGCAGGCCCTGTTGGAGCACGCGCGGGGTAGCCTGATGTACCAAAAGCAGATCCTCAAGGAGCTCCGTGCGCTCAAGCCGGAGCTCGAGGCTCGGCGGGCGCCGATCGCCTCGGCCACCTCTTCGTCGTCGATGTCGCAGGGCACGCCGGCAATGCCGTCTGGAGCCGTGCCTGGAGCGGGGCAGGGAGGAGCACACGAAGTGCCAAGGCCGTACGAAGCCATGGAGTCGCCCGCAGCACCGCCGCCGCCATCTGCCGTTCTGTCTCCAGCACCAGCACCAACACCGGCGCCGGCATTCGCAGCAGCAGCAGCAGCAGCAGCCTCGGCGTCTTCGGACATGGGCAAGTCAGGTAGCGCTTCTTCGGCGCTGCCCACTTCGCCTCCCCGGACCAGCAGCATGCCGGCCTCGCGCAGCTTCAGTGCCCAGGCAGCCTCGGCTGCTCAACAAGCCGGTCCTCAGACGATGACGCCACCGCGGCCAAATCCCTGGATCCGCGCCGATACGCAGTCCCCAACCCAACCCCAGCATCACGCTCCGAGCGGCATGACGCAGTCCTTCTTCCAGCCACGGCATCCGTCGCACACGACTCCGGAATCGCCGGGATTTCACCACCATCCACCACCGCAGCAGCAGCAACAGCAGTCCCCACCGCCGGGCAACGCCATGGCGCAGAGCATGTTTGTCACTCCGCCCGCGCCGCTCGATGGCGCGGCCTCGTTTGCGTCGAGGTTCGGCACCCTCAACTCGGGTGCGGCCGGCTTCGCGAGCGGCACCGCGAGTGGGCGCAGCCGCATCTCGGCCAGCGAGGCCGCGAGGAGCCTGGCTGGGAAGTTTTGAGGCGCGAGAGCAGGCGAGCGTCCGAGCGGGCACGCCTCCGAGGCCGGCGCGCCCTGCTCGCCCCGCAGCGACGGCCACGCCCCACTCGGAACCCATCTAGATGGAACGGCATCCGCGCACGGCATCCGCGCACGGCATCCGAGCTCGGCAAGTCGGCAAGCAAGCGGCGGGCTGAGAGTATTCGATAGCATAGCGGTGGCTCGTCATTAGCCACGTCGGGTGGGATGGGCAGGGAGGGACACTAGCGGCGATGAACGGACAGGCGGATAGAGAGGGCAAGGTGGCGATGCAGACCGAGGCCGACAGTCGGTCGGTAGGTCGTTTGGATGGATGGTGTGCGGGAGAGGGAACGGGACGGGTGAGGCACCGGGGCGCGCTAGCGGATGAGGACGGGGTCACAAGGTGGCGGAGCAGGCGAGGGGAAAGAGACGAGTCCGGGGGGAAAAAAGCATGCGTAGAGTTCCATACCGTAGAGGCCAAGGTGGGCGGGATGCCGAAGCGTCTCGTCGCCAACGGGGGGTCGCATCACGGGGACAAGGGCGAGGAGTGCCAGTTTCGAGGCCATCCATCGACACCTTGTCAGCGGCAGCAGCGAACGACGGACTTTGTTCGGATCGCGACTCGAGGACAGCTGGGCAAGGGGGCCAAGCAGATCGATCAAGGGACTGGGGGCGACAGCTACTGGCTGTAGAGAGCCGCGCCCATCCTCCTGGCCGAACTTGCCGAGTTGGTCGGCGTAGTCTGCGTCGGATCGGAGGCAGCTAGCCGACCGGTCGTACTGGACGAGGGGGTGGCATGGGGGGAAGAGACTGAGGGTGAACCGCCGACAGCGGCGGTGGTAGGGTGGTGCTGGTGGTGGTGTGCCGAGTCGAGGAAAGAACGGTGGGGTGGAGGAGGGTGGTGATGCAATGGCGAGCTGGGGAACTGCATCGAGGCGTGGGTGGGCGACGATGACGAGGTGGCGTACCCCGCCGCATTGGCCAGACCGCCGCCCCCTGACGACGACGACGACGACGAGAGCGGGGCGAGTTGACGCGACCCCGCAATCAGCGGCGACGAGGCCGGGTGGTGGTAGTACATCCTTCGTGCCGTCGGCGTCGTGCTGCCGTGGTGCGACGACGAGTAGGGACTCAGCGGCGGTGGCGGCAATGGACCGACTCCACCTCCGCCGCCTCCCAGGCCGATAGTGCCGGGCTGCACGGGTGGGAGGATGTTGGAGGGCCCATGCGAGTGAGGGTGCGGGTGCGGGTGCGAGAGCGATCGGCTATGCGCCGATCCCGCCGCCGGTCCGAGCGCTCCGTGGCGCGGCGTAGGCGAGTAAGGCCCGTACGCGTGCGTCGTGCTGCCGCCGCCCGACGGCGCCGCGCCAATCGAGAGCTTGTGCAGAGGCGTCGCCGTCACGTCGCCCGCATCCGGGCCGTCGTCGCTGATGCCGCCGTCGTGGTCGTCGTAGCGCTCATCGTTGGTGCTCCGCCCCCCAGCACCGCCGCTGCCACCGCCACTACCTCGGACGCGTCGGCCGTTGCTGCTGCCGGCGCCACCGCCACCGACGCTGCTCTTCCTGCGCGACACAGACGCCGAGGCGGGCGGACCGCGTCCGTAGTCGCCCTCCTCTTGCGACTGCTGGTCCGACGCCGATGCCGACGCCGTGTTGGCAGCCTCGTCGGCCTCGGCCTGCGCCTTGGCGGCCGCCTCTTTGCGCCTCATGAGCAGGTATCGCTGCCGGCACTGGTGGTAGGAGCGCGTGCCCACCGCGCGAGAGATGAGCTCCCACCGCTGCCCGTGCTCCTTGATGGCCGCGCGCAGCTTGGTGTCCTCTTCGTTGGTCCACCGCACGTAAGGTAGCCGCTTCTCCGGGTTCTGGTTGCCGCCAAACGAACGCGTCTCGCCGTTCGACCTGGAGCTGCTCTGGCCGGCGTCGTTGGCGCTGGCGCTGGCGCTGGCGGTGCCGTTGTTGTTGCTGCCGCCCTTGGCCTTGCCCCGCGACGGGCTCTTGCCCGACCTCTGCGAGCCGGCCTTTGACGCGTCGCCGCTCTTGCTGCGCTTGGCGCGCGACGTCGCCGCCGTCGCCGCCGCCGTCGCCGCCGCCGCTTCACCGTCCATACCGTCCTCGTCGCTGCTCAGGCTGCCGAGCGGGCTGACGCCGTCGTAGCCCCCGGACCTATCGCTGCCCATGCTCGGGTTGAGACTGGCAGCAGCCTGGTCCGCTAGCAGGTCGAGCGCGCTGAGAGCCTGGCTGGCACCGGCGCTCGAGGGACCGCTAGGCGCGTAGTCCGTATACAGGTGCTGAGGCACCTGGCCGTACGGATCCGCCCCTTCTGTGCTGGTCCGGCCGCGGGGCTGACGGTCCGAGATGAACGGCGAGCCAAACGGACCGGTGTCGATCGCGGCCGACGAGACGCGGCGTCGCTTTGGGCTCTCGTGAGGCAGACGGATAGGGCTCGAGGCGGCGTGGTGATGATGGTGCGAGTAGCCGTAGGGGTCTGGCTCCATGGCACGGGCGTGGACGGAATGGAGCGGGTGCGGCGCGTTCGGCACGGGAACGGGCTCGCGCGAGTATCGCGTGCGGCCATCGCCGCCGGAAAAGACGGCCCGCTCGTGCTCCGGCAGCGTCCGCATCCGAGGCGACGCGGTGCTCGCGCCCGGGTTGAGCGTCTCTGCAGCCTGCAGCAGCTCGTCGATGCCGGTGAAGGATGACACCGAGGCGCTGCTCTCGAATCGCTTGTGCTGCGAGGCGCGCGCGGACTCCCTGACATCGGTGGCCGGGCGCGCAAGCTCAGCCGGGTCGCCATTTCGGACGCCGCCATCGGCCATCCTCGGCGTCGTAGGGACGCTGTGGTTGGACCGGGGCGTCTTTGGGGGCCGCTCGCCCAGCTTCGTCATGGGGGTGCGCGGCGAACCCTCGTACGGCAGCTCGCCGTCAAAGCCTTCGGACGCCTGTCGTTTGACTGGCGAGGCATGCGCCATGGAACTCTTGAGCTCGGCGGCTGGTGCCAAGACCGATATGGAAGTGCCATTGATCCCCGCGACCTCGACGGCGGCCTGCACTGATGCCGGCTCGGCGTGTTCTGCGGCCGGTGTCGCCTCGGCGGCCTTCCGCATCTCTCGCAGACGCCTCGCCGCCAACATCAGGTGTTCGGTCTCGGCATCGCCCATGACGGCATTCCTCTTCTTTCGGCTCCTTTCCTTCCGACCACCGGATCGGCTGGGCGTGGCCGGAGCGGTGCTCGTGCCATCGCCCACCGCACCCGCTGAGGCCGTCGTGGCCTGCGACGAGGCCTCGGCGGCTCCGTTGACGCCAGCACGCTCACGCTCGGCCTCGGCCAGCTTGATCCCGCCGCCCACGAGGTAAGGGCGGAGCGACCTGAGCTCGGCCTCGAGGCGGTGTACCTGTGCTTCGGTATCGCGCAGCCTCGTCTTGAGGTAGCGCTTGTCCGCGGCGAGCTTGTTGCGCTCCCGGAGGACCGCCGTCGAGGCCGGCGTCTCGTCGAGCACGGCATCGATCCCGCCGGCGTTGAGGATGCCGAGCCCCGTGATGCCCTCGGATTGGGCTTCGGCCTGAGCGGCGAGTGCGAGCCGGTCCCTGGACCGGTCGCGGCCGCGACCCTCTTCGCCCGCGGGCGTGGCGGGCTCGGCAAGGCGGCTGCGCGGACTGGCCTTGGACGGGCTCCTGGGCTCAAACGCGCCCTGGAGCTGCTGTGCTGAAGAGGGCCTCGAGCCGGTGGCAGCGGCCTCGGACGAGGTGCGACGAGCCATGGCGGCCGCGCCGAGCAGCTCGTCGGAGCGCGATGGCGGGAGCCGGCTGCTCGAGGCCGCGCTCGCAAGCCTGCCGACGTCGAGCGTGTCGATGCTGGGACGCTCGATGTGGCTGCGGGACTCTGCTCTGCTCAACAGGGCGCTGAGCATCTTTGCCTGGGCTTTCCATCCCTCGAGCTCGGCGTCGAGGCGGTCGCGCGCGCCCCGCTCCGCGGCGAGGGCGTGGGCGTGGGCCGTCTTGGTCGACGAGATGACCGAGAGGGCGGTGAGCCGGTTGGTGTGCAGCTGCGCCCTGGCGCGGTCGCGCTGCAGCGAGAGGTCGGTGCACTTCTGGGCGAGCAGCCTGACCATGTCGGCCAGCTCGCGCTCGCGCTCGGTGGCGTCGCTAGCCTTGCTGGCGTCGTCGAGGCCCATCTTGGACAGGCTTTCCAGGACACGTTTGACGTCGTGGCTGGTTTCTTGCCCGTCCGGGCCGTCATGCAGGGCGCCGTCGGCATCTGCCGAATCGGCGGGACTGGTGCCGTAGACGAGAAGCTCGACTTCCTCCGCCGAGGGTCCTAGGCCAAGGCCGAGCATGGGCATCGAGAGGCGCCCGCGTGGGTCATCCGGGTCGTTGACCGCCGCTGCATCGCCGCCTTCGACCTTGAGGCGCTGCACAGAGGGCGAGTTGGCGTCGTCGTCGGCGTCGTCGTTGGCGAGGTCGAAGTGGCCGAATGGAGCGCCGAGGATGGGCGAGGGCGTCCTGGATCGGCCCGACGATAGGGACCTGTGGCGCCTTGCACGATCTGCCTGACGGAGGACGCGTTGCCTCTCGTCTTGACGCTTACGGCCGTCTGGACTTGGGCTTGGGGGGCGCCGCGGCGGCGGTGGTGGTGGTGGATGCGCCCTTGGGGATGCATGTGTGGATGTGCTGACGAGGGAGGCGGGCGACATGTCCATGGCAGCAGCTGCTGCGGCTGCCGTGGTGGCCATGTGGGTGTGTGGATGCGCCCTTTTGTGGGCGGATGTGTGCGTCAGGCGTGCGGTTGGGCTGGCATCCAGGTGGCTGGGATGGCCGTGCAGGGTGGATGGCGAGCGTGGCGTGGGTCGGTACTCTGTGTGCGATGTTGGGGGCGTGGGCAGGTCGCTGGTGTACTGCGATCGGGGAGGCGTGGAAGGAGAGAGGCTGTGCTTTGGCAGGGGTGCAGGGAGGGTCGCCGAGGTGGATGTCGAGGGGGCAGATGTGATATGTTGGTGATGGTGGTGCTGCGGAAAGTGGCCTGGGTGACTTGACATTGCTTGCGGGGGAGTGGGGTCGGAGACGATGGCTGCGGCAGCTGAAAGAGAGACGCGTAGAGAGAAAAAGAGGGGGAGAGGGCGCGCTCAAGATAGGAAGAGAGAGAAGGGTAGAGAGGTAGAGAGAGAGAAAGCGAGAGAGGTAGAGAGAGAGAGGTAGAGAGAGAGAGGTAGAGAGAGAGAGGTAGAGAGAGAAGAAAGAGAGAGAGTGTGTGGAAAGGTAGAGGGAGAGAGAGAGAG